AATTCTAACATTCAATATCTACAGTAGCTATCTAGTATGTTATAGCATAACAGTGCATGCAACATACATGTAAGTTTGAAACAATTCTTAACAAATTAGTGCATGATAAGATGTAATGTTTAAAGTCCGAATTGGAGGACTTTGAACGACTTCTCATACTCATTAATTATTCGGGAGGGGAAAAAGCGAAGGAAATACATATAACAGAAATATATTGATTTATTGCATCTCCACGAAGTTTTTCAGTTTTCATAATTTTGAATAAAGAAGCACCGTTTGTTGTTTTCCAATTCCCGAACGGCTTTCTGAAACAAAAGCTTTTCAAATTGTCTTTGTTTGCTTTTCATGGCATTTCTAATGAGTCTAATTCATAAGTTTCACAAGTATGTTATCTTCCAAGGAATCGCATTAGAAACTCGGTGGTGTAATGGTATAAGACGGCACATATAGATTGGACGGTTCGGGATCGTTTCGTGAGGGAGTCATTTATCAAAGACCTTTTTTCACTAATTTAAAATTAATTCTATATTAAGTTGATTATTTCTAATACTTTGATTATCATTAGCTAGTAGTAGTTAGAAAAAGCTAGAAGTAACTAGAAACAAGGTAGAAGTAACTGGAAATAAGATAGAATACAAGGTAGGAGTACTTCCTCTGGTATCCAGTTACTGCACGTGGTACAAATTACAGTCACTGATTGGCTGGATATCTCATGAATAATTAATGAGTTTGAGAATTAGTTATCAACTAGCTAAGAATGCAGTCAGGCATAACAAACTAAAAGACAATTTCCTTTCTGGCATTGTGTTCATGCCCCCAAATCTTGTTGAAAGATTACGTTAAGAATTGTTTCACCCTTTTTGGGGCGCACACTCTAGGTATAATTATTGTTAACTCATAAGCTAAATTGTTGAAGACTTTCATGAACCAGCATTACTGATAACCTAACCCAGGGGCATAATGATTTTATTCACAGATAGACTGCATGTGATTGATAGCCTTCCTAATGTCTGGATGCTCGATGGAAGAATCATAACATGTAAGACCTCATCTAGTATATGCTGGTAGTAAATCATTTGTTT